ACTTATTTGCTATCATGCTATATCTCAGGCATTGTTTGAAAGACATTCTGAGTCTCCATGGATCAATTCAAAAGGATGGTAGCATTTTTTCTTCTTTCAGAAAAGAAGGACCAATGTTGTAGATACTTGTTTACTTCCAGAAAAACTCTAAAAATTAGCTTCTACAGACATCATGCAATGTTCATTTTGACATTTCTACCTACATTTTGTATTATACACACTACAAACATCAATGGGGAGTTATTTCACCTCAATCCAACAAATATATTGAGTGAAAAATACATAAAATGGAAAACAAGTTCAAATTTACCTTTTAGAGGAGGATATAGAATTTCTGGCCCAGAAACCTTATGAAGCTCATAACAATAGTAGGGAGACCCAGTGGTCAAAATATCTCTTCCTCAAGTTGCAAATTGCTTCCAGTAGATTGCAGTCATTCAGAATTTCCCATCCCATTTTTGGCACTTGTCACAGTCAATTCCCTGCCTTATCCTGAGTTTTCAGTTGTTCATCACCAGACTTGGTATGTACAATCTACACTATGTTAGCTATGTTTCATACACCAGAGCATAGTTCTCAAAATGTTTGGTTCTTGTGTTATAGTGCCAACTTTGTAAAAAAAACCATGTGACATTCTTTATTGTGAGTTAGTGTACTTGTGCCCAAAATAATTAACATACAACATGTGACTGATCACAGTTGCAACATGTTGAACTATCATTGTATTACTCCACAATCCATCTATTCTCTACACAATAAATGACCTGTACTAAGACTACAAGAACTCAGCATGACTCCCCAAAGAAAAACAGGTTCATTGGTATTGTCCTCAGCAGAACATCTGTCCATCATGCTGGCAAGATGGGACAAGTGATCAGTGACATGTTTCCTGTTACTTTTTTTGGGCATGAGTAAGGTGCAACTGGACAGAGTAAGAGAGAAACAACAGAGAACTTTGTGAACTCTGGTTTTTGAAACTGATTGGGAGAGATGTTTGATATCACAGGCTGGGGTTTGACTAATACAGATGTTGGTGGGGTATGCAGTTAAGGTGCAACTGGAGATCTGGGAGCTGAAGTAGAGGAAGAGGTGAAGGGGATTTCTAGGCAGCTAAAAAATTCCATAGTGTCAAAGTGGATAATACTTAAGCAACTCATGAATCTTGGACTGAATAGCATCAAGGTGAATCACACATGTCATTGAGGCCCAAAATTGTTATAGGAGAATGAATGAATCTGTAACATGAATTGTATTCATAGTGTGATTGGAAGTAGATGATACTTAAGCAACTCAGGTAGATTACAGATGCTATTGATGCCCCTTATCGCTACCTACATACAGGGTGCACAAGCCAGACAGAGTGCCAGGCCCCTGGGGGTCATTGCAGAATCTTCCAGAATATATACCTCAAATCACAAGTTTTTTGCTGATACTAGGACCCCTAACAGCAGGAAAATATATCCTTACCACATCTGTTTCACAAAATATATCCCAAGGCCAAGCCAGGGCAAAAATATATTTCTAAAGTGTGACAGTGACATTTCAGGGTCTACTCACCAAAAATATATCCTTACTGCATTTCACTTGCAAAATATATTTTGGTGGTGTGACACAAACATTATAATTTTTGTGTGACATTTCAGGGTCCACGTCTCAAGAATATATTTTAGATTTCAGGGCTTTCTAGGACCCATATATATCTAGAATATAAATGTGGTCCATGACATTTAGTCATGTAACTTACGTGGAGTTTGCATGACTAATAGTCAGTTGGCACTGGGTGACTGAAGTGCAGCAAGTGTAGATAGAACATACCGATGGGGAAGAATGAGAACACCTGAGCACTTTCTGAACAGAATGAGAATGATGTTGGAATCCATTCGGCGTTGACCTTGATATAGCCCACAGACTCGGAATGGGTTTGTGTTGTTGTGCGCACCTGTGGATGCCTGATCTGGGTGTTCGGGAATACCTACGGCTAACCCAGTAACATTTAACCCTCACTGCGGGTATGGGTTTGGGCCACTAAAGCCATGACAATCACTACTGGTAAGCTCAGTATTCGTGTTTAGAAGGGTCACTGAAGTAAATGTCAGATGCTGGAATGACAAAAGGAGATAGGACCAACGTTGGCGCTGTGTGTTACTTCAGGCACTGAAGCCGTCTTTGACATCTGTTTCGCGACGGCACTTGGAGTGTGGCTAGAGGCAGAAAATGAAGAGATTTACAGCTAACTGCATAACCGTAGACCGTCAGCGAATTGGTGAAGTTCCGTTATGACCTTTTATTTCTCACGAGAAATTACTCAGATGATGGCAGATCACAATCCC